CAAATCCCTACTTTCCTAGGCTTTCTTAATTGTTTAACTACTCCAAAATTTTTTTTTTATTTTCTTAAAAATTTTTTGACAGTGCCCTCCCACTCTATCATTGCTCTCCTTTTGCACTCTCTCACCACTCTCTTTACCTTTCTTTTACTCTCCATATACTCTGCTCTTATAACACTTCTGCTTTGTAAAAACCTCTCATAAGCTACCTTTTTCTCTATTATCACACCCTTTACTTCATCATTCCACCAATCACTCCTCTTTCGTCCTGCCCCCACCCTCCTATAACCACAAACTTCTGCCCCACATTCTAATACTGCATTTTTAAAACTATTCCAACCCTCTTCAACCCCCCCTCCCTACTCATCTTTGCACTAGCCCACCTTTCTGCCAATAGTTGCTTATATCTCACCCGAACTTCCTCCTCCCTTAGTTTATACACTTTCACCTCCCTCTTACTTGTTGTTGCCACCTTCCTCTTTTCCCATCTACCTCTTACTCTAACTGTAGCTACAACTAAATAATGATCCGATATATCAGTTGCCCCTCTATAAACATGTACATCCTGGAGCCTACCCATCAACCTTTTATCCACCAATCCATAATCTAATAAACTACTTTCATTACATGCTACATCATACCTTGTATATTTATTTATCCTCTTTTTCATAAAATATGTATTACTTATTACCAAATCTCTTTCTACACATAGCTCAATTAAAGGCTCCCCATTTACATTTACCCCTGGCACCCCAAATTTACCTACTACTCCCTCCATAACATTTTTACCCACTTTAGCATTGAAATCCCCAACCCCCATTTTCTCTCACACTTGATTCAAAACTCCCCATGCATTCACTCAACATTTCCCAAATCTCTCTCTCTCCTCTACACTTCTCTCTTCTCCAGGTGCATACACGCTTATTATAACCCACTTTTCACATCCAATCTTTATTTTACTCCACATAATCCTTGAATTAATACATTTATAGTCCCTCTTTTCCTGCCATAGCTTATCCTTCAACATTATTGCTACTTCTTCTTTAGCTCTAACTCTGTTTGAAACCCCTGACCTAATCCCATTTATTCCTCTCCACTGAAACTCTCTCCACCGCCTTCAGCTTTGTTTCACTTAAAGCCAGGGACATCCAGCTTCTTCTCATTCATAACATCCACAATCATCTCTTTCTTATCATCTGCACAACATCATCCACGCACATTCGGACTTCCCACTTTGACAATTTTCTTCTTCTTATTCTTTTTAGTAATCTTTACAGGAAAAGGGGTTACTAGCCCATTGTTCCGGCATTTTAGTTGACTTTTACAACACGCATGGCTTACGGAGGAAAGATTCTTATTCCACTTCCCCATGGATATAAAAGGAAAAGTAATAAGACCAAGAACTATTAAGATAAAATCAAAGAAAACTCAGATGAGTGTGTATAAATAAATGTGTACATGTATGTGTAGTGTGACCTAAGTGTAAGTAGAAGTAGCAAGACATACCTGTAATCTTGCATATTTATGAGACAGACAAAAGACATCAGCAATCCTACCATCATGTATAACAATCACAGGCTTTCGTTTTACACTCATATATGTGAGCAGGGTAATATTTAGTGAAGGGATTCAGGGAAACCGGTTATTTTCATATAGTCGGACTTGAGTCCTGGAAATGGGAAGTACAATGCCTGCATTGGGATATTGGCAGTTTGGAGGGATATGTTGTGTATCTTTATATGTGTATGCTTCTAAACTGTTGTATTCTGAGCACCTCTGCAAAAACAGTGATAATGTGCGAGTGTGGTGAAAGTGTTGAATGATGAAACTATTTTCTTTTTGGGGATTTTCTTTCTTTTTTTTGGGTCACCCTGCCTCGGTGGGAGACAGCCGACTTGTTGGAAAAAAAAAATATATATACAGTGGACCCCCGGTTAACGATATTTTTTCACTCCAGCAGTATGTTCAGGTGCCAGTACTGACCGAATTTGTTCCCATAAGGAATATTGTGAAGTAGATTAGTCCATTTCAGACCCCCAAACATACACGTACAAACGCACTTACATAAATACACTTACATAATTGGTCGCATTCGGAGGTGATCGTTATGCGGGGGTCCACTGTATATATATATATTGTGTGTGTGTGTGTGTGTATACATTATGCACTGTATTGGTCTAACAGACCTCAAAAGTTACTTGAAAAAATCAAATATTCAAAACTAAAAGAAAAAACTAGAATAAAAGTAGTAAATATAATATTACCGAGTGAGTGGCAGCCATGAATGTTGATGTAAGCGGTTCACTTTCTGTCATCTTCATGCCTCTCTATCAGTAAGTATTTATTTTTCTTATAACACTCACAAAATTATTCCTGAGATTTTGGTAAGAATATTTTTTTTTTTTTTTTCCTCCTCTGAATATTTTTCGACACAGCAAGTTATGGATTAAGGGTCGCAACACTGAAAGGGTTAAACTGCATGTATTTCTATTTCACGAGATTGCTTGTCTTGAGGTGGCCATGGGCTTGATTATTTTAAAACCAACTGTCTTCCAGGGGAGGCATTGACCAAGAAAGGGGAAACACATTCACCATCTTTCACTCATTTTGCTAGCCCTAATTTTTTAGTAATGATTATCATGGCCCCCCGCAAAACGATGGCATCCCATAGCGATTATTCCGCATACCCCTTATTTTAAATCGAAAAAATTTTTTCCCCGGTTTTAAAACCGTTTAAAAACCCCCGCTCCCCCGTTTTCGCCCGGCGCGTCCAATGTGCACCCTCGCCAGCCTCACATGTGCCGCCCTGATTTTTTCCCAGCCAGCCCCCGGGGTAACATCCAAGCATACACTCGGAATTTTTCGTTTTATTACAGTGTTTTCGGCTGTTTTGGAAAATAATGACCATGGCCCCAAAAAAGTTCTAGTGCCAAACCCCCTACACCAAAAAGGGGTGAGAATTATATAAAAAAAGAAAGAGATCTTGTAAGTATGAAAGTGGAGTCGTATCCCGCCCTAGTCAAGCGTACAAAAAACCCCCAATCAACCTGGGTATATTGTGGGGCCCCGGGAAAGAAAAATAAGGGAAGCTGTTCTTGCAAAGGTTTAACTGTGTTTCGAAACAAAATCGCAAATGATGGAAGATGTTTTAGAGATCTTATTGGTGTGGTAAAAGAAAAAAAGCTAGCAGGAGATAGCGTCTCTCAAACATATATGTGAAAAGGGTAGGAAATTGCATGAGGATTTAATTAAAAAAAAAGCCTCCCCAAATATGATGATGTGAGTGAATTTTAAAGGGCCGCAAAGGTTGGTTTGAGAGATTTAAAAAAGCTAGTGGCATCCATAGTTGTAAGGGATGGGGAGGCTGCCCGTTCGGACCCAAAGCGGGTGAAAAATATGTGCAGGAATTTAAGGGTACATAGCAGTGAAACTTTAAACCCGAACAAGGGTTTTTAATTGTGATGAAACGGGGTTTTCTGGAAGAAAATCCCAAGAGGACCCCTTTACCAAAAACCCCCCCGGAAAAAGGAAAAAGGGCACTCCCGGGGTTAAGAGGGTAGAAACAGCCTTTTTTTCATTGTCCAAGCTTGGAAAAAAAGCCTAAGGAAAGGGTTTTGTGTACAAACGAACTAAAAGGTTTTCCAAATTGGTTCCCTAAGGGAAATTTTGTTTTGGGGGGGTTTGTTTGGGTTTGGAGGGCCCCAAAACCAATTTTTTAAAAGGCTTTTTTTGGGTTTAGGGATTTTTTAAAAATAACTGGTTACCCATGCATTTGCCCCCAATGTAAGATTCCCTAACTGAAAAGAAATTAGAACTTAATGCCTCTGGTGTTAGAAAATGCCCCTGGTCATCCTACGGTGGAGAGCGACTTTATGGGGACATAAAGCTTCATTAAGGTGAAGTTTTTGCCTCCTTTTACCACCCCTCTCCTGCAGCCCATGGACCAGAGGTTTTTTCCCAACTTCAAGAAATGTACACAAACTCTGTTTGAAAGGTGCTTTGTAGTGCCCTCAGAAACTCAACTGACTCAAAGGGAAGTTTTGGAAGAGACCCTTTTTTAAATATCCTAAATTGTGTAAAACCTTTATAGGAAAGGGCTTGGGAGGAGTGCTAAGAAGACCTTGAACTCTGTTTGGGAAAACTGTGGCCAGAGGTGTAGACAAAAGGGATTTTGAAGGGTTTGAGGCTAACCCTGAGATAAATTATCCCATTGGGAATCCATTGTGGCTTTGGGGAAAGTCCTGGGGGTTGGGGGTTAGGGGGGGGATGTGGAAGGTTGGGGGAGGGGGACAATGAAGAACTAACCCTTTTGAGGATGATAACTTCAAAAAGAAAAAGGCCCGCCTGGGGAAATGGTTCAGAGGGGGGGAGGAGGAAAATTTAAAAAGTTCCTACTACAAAGATTAAGGAAAACTGTGCAAAGTGGCTTGAAGTGCAAACCTTCATGGATGAAAATCACCCTCACACAGCTATTGCAAGCCGTGCTGGTGATTATTACACTGACAATGTTGTGAAACACTTTAGGCAAGTCATAAAGGAACGAGAGGTACAGGCCACTATGGACAGATATCTTGTGCGAAAGAAGTCCAGTGACTCTGAAGCTGGCCCTAGTGGCATTAAAAGAAGAAGGGAAGTAACCCCAGAAAAGGACTTGCTACCTCAAGTCCTAATGGAAGGGGATTCCCCTTCTAAACACTAACACTCTCTCTCCCCTCCTCCCATCCCATCAATCATCACCAGATCTTCAATAAAAGTAAGTGTCATGTAAGTGTGCATGCCTTTTTCAGTTTGTGTGTATTAAAATTAACATTTCATGTGGTAAAAATTTTTTTTTTCATACTTTTGGGTGTCTTGCACGGATTAATTTTATTTCCATTATTTCTTATGGGGAAAATTCATTCACATAACGATTATTTCGCATAACAATTACCCCTCTTGCACGGATTAAAATCGTTAACCGGGGGTCCACTGTAATTGTTATTTATTACTTTCTATCTTCCCAGGGAAGGATTGTCCCCCAGAAAAGAAGAAAAAGAAGGAAAAGAACAAAACTAGTAAAGACACAAATAAGGACAATAATAGGAGCAATAAGGAGAACAAGGGTAAGAAGGAGACAAAAAATGTCAAGACTATGAAGGAGACGAAGACTACTAAGAAGGTGTGCAAGAGTGCAGAGGTGACGACCAAGATGACTAAAAGTAAGAAGAGACACAGTGAAGGAGATATACATCGCATCGCAAAGAAGCTTAAACTGTATGAATATGAATCTGGTGAGCTAACCCACACTTAGTCTTGGATACTCTTATGTGGTGCTGATGCTGTGTTGTGTTGTGTTAGTCTGGGACATTCCTATGTGATGTTGTGTTGTGTGTGTGTTACTCTAGGACACTTATGTGATGCTGTGTTGTATGTTAGTGTTCTGTGATACTTTGTTGTCTATGTTATTCTGAGAGAGACTTGTGTGATACTATATTGTTTTTGTTAGTCTAGGACACTTATGTTGCTTGTGTTATTTGATACTGCTTGTGTTAATCTAGGACACTTATGTTGCATGTGTTAATATAGTACATTTATGTTGCTTTTGTTATGTGATACTGCTTATGTTAATCTAGGACACATGTGTGACCATTGTTTATGTTAGTCTACGACTTTGTGAACCTCCTTTAATTAATTTCAGGGATCTGGACAGTGAAAGGTTAATAGGAAGAGTTCTGTGTGATTGTATTTATAAACGCAGCATAAGAGCAGAGTTATGTTTGGTGTGTGTCATCTTCAGTGGCGTTGCTAGGGTTGGTGTCACCCGGGGGCGGCATCTTTGGTGTCACCCCCATGAAATCCAAGGGCAGGGAGATGGGGGAGTAAACTCCAGTTACATCACTACTGCATACCCAATGACTAATGTTTAGCAACGAGAACGTTTAAGGGCCATAAACCGAACAGGAGAATACTTCTTAACTTTATTAATGGTAAAATAAATAATCGTAGTAATATTGAGGAAATATAAACTCAAATAACACTTTGAGTACAGGCAACAGAACCTACATTTATTCATCTTCAATGATGCAAACAAAAAAACTTGAAAAATAAAGAAGAGAAACACTAGTTCTGATTTGACTTCACCAGGAGTTTACCTTGAGTACAGGTAACATCTCACTGACTCTGATCTTATATTTCCTTGCCTTCACAATCCTGCAAAATCATCTATCACATCATCAAAATCAATGATTTTCCCATATAGACCTGTATTTATTCTGTAATGACATGAGAGGCTGTATAGAAACAAAGGATTTTTCTCTTAGGTTGCTGCAGCACTGTTTTGGGCATTAGTGACACCTTCTTTAGAGTCTCTGTGGTGTTACCCGGGGTGGCTTTTCCCCCTTACGATGCCACTGCTTATCTTCAGTATTTAGTTTGTGTTAATACACGAGCAGAGTTATGTTTAGTGTTTGTCATTTTTGTTTAGTTTGTGTTGATGTAAGAGCACAATTATGCTTATTGTGTCTTCAGTGTTAAATTTGTCACATTTGTGTGTTCTCTGAAGGGGGATACCTGTAGGGCCACTGTGTATTATATACTTCTGCTATATAGTTTCTTTGTGATAAGTTGGTAATGCCATTCTGGGCCAACTTTTAATTTCCAAGTCTTGTAATCTTAGAATGAAGAATTGCTTTTATTATTTGGCTGTGTAACTCCCAGTTTACCCATGTTAGTTTTCGTGAGGTTTTGTTACGAGTCATTTGGAGCACTTGGGTAGGCACTACTCCATTTGACTCAGTGGTCATCACTAGACCTGCTCTCACCCTACATGCAACTGTCTTATCAGTGTATTTTTTTTTTATTTATGCCAGTATGATTGTTTTTAATTTTTGTTTTAAACTGTGACTGCTGTATGATAGTCAGCAGCCACTGCCAGTGTTACATGTAGATGCTCTGCACTCTGTAAACAAATAATAAAATAAATTTCCTTCATTCAAATGTGATTTTGCTACTGTTTTTATTTTCATACTTTTCCTTAGTTTATATTTTCCTAGTTCTTAAATGAGGCCTTACAGAGTTTGTTTAAAATAGACATGCATTTTTTCTCCAGCTAATACACTATAGATATATATGTCTCTGGTAAATCTTCACTAACTTTGCCTGCCATACATATTATGTCTGGCATGAGCCCACATCCTTCAGACATCATAAAAGAAAGAGAGAACATTCCCATACATGCAGCACCTGCACCTCATTCCTCAAACTTTTTATTCACAAAGAAATTCAAAATATAATCATCATTAGAAGCCCTGAACCAACTTACATTCATGTAAAATTCCAGAGGCCTAAAAAAATGCAGACACAGTCCCTGATTACAGAGGAAGCAGTCGAGTGACATAAAATTACTGACGAGTAGTACTAACATTATACATATGTCTGTGAATGGTTGCTTCAGCACCACCATATTGTTTGTATGGACAATCATGACACCAGACAATCCTGGCTTCATGGCCGGGCTCCGGGAGTAGAAAGGTTCTCCTAACTCATCAGAGGTGTATCAGAAGCAAAGGTACCTTCACACCCAAGTCATCTTAGAACTAATTATATCAGATCTGTCATTAGTAAGAGCTATTAAATGTTAATGATGAGTTGTGATGCAGGAGTTTAGTACAACACACATTCTTAAAACTGTTATGGAGAGGTTGACAGCATGGGAATGTTTGTATACACTAACACACACACTTCTAGGCATGCAAAATTGCAGAGCTAGAGAATGTGCTGAGAGCCTTTACTTCATATAACCTTAGCCAAGTACCTAATTGTTGGTAATGCTTGAAGTCCCTCGAACTGTACTCCTTGGAATGTAAGCAAGAAAGATGCATCATAGTTTACATCTGAAAAACTACATAGACTGGTCCCACATAAGCACACACAAATCACTCCCTACGAAAGCAAGAGGCTGAACAGTTGCTTATTTTTCCCTTTTGATATGTTATAATTAGTTATATTTTATGGATAGAGGACAGTCTAACCTTACCAAGAAATTTCCTGCAAGCCACATGTTGTGATGGCAGACTGTGGCACAAAAGTCGGGTCACAACAGATGTGCTGTTACTATCTGGGACCACAGTAGCCAGTGTTAATCCAGGTCATCAAGCCACATGATGATGTCACATGGGAGGCAACCTAGCCAGTCAGAAGAAAGGAGTGGTGGTTGATCATTCTTAGAAACTTAATACTGTGAGGAGAGCCTATCCTTTTATGGAGGCAATGTGTGGTATGCTTCCGTGGAAGGTGCCCCTCGATTTGGAATTGGGGGAATTGGGGAGGGCTAGTATGTAGGACTATAAACTTAAGGAGACCTGCTGAGGAGAGGCCTTTGGAGAGAGAGTTCTTGCAGGGTGCTGAGCTGGAGGCTCTGAGAACTTTGAGGCTAGTGTAGGAGTCTTAGGACCTGTGGCTAGAGGCTGGCTGGTTTCCTAAGAGTGAGCTCTTCTAACGACTCTATTCTGTAATTGTATATTCGATCTCATTCGCTAATAGTATTCCCCAGTCTCAGTATTCTTGTATCATCCCCTATTATCTCGATATCAAATACGTATCTTTCTCTTTGACAGAGTATTTTTTCCTCCACAAACTGGCTATATCCCACTGAGGCAGGGTGACCTAAAAAGAAAGACAAAAGTTTTTCTTTTTAAATTTAGTAATTTATACAGGAGAAGGGGTTACTAGCCCCTTGCTCCCAGCATTTTAGTCACCTCTTATGACATGCATGGCTTATGGAGGAAGAATTCTGTTCCACTTCCCCTATGGAGATTATATTTTTATATAAAAATTAATAAATTATAATTGAGTGATATAATGTATTCACTGTCCCCATCTTTATTTTCTTATTCTTACTAATGTAAAAGTTAAGTTGAAGTGACTGAAATGTAGTAGTATGTAGTGATGTGAGATGAGTTGGTGGTGTCACCACTTGAGCCCTTTACCTGTACTTATATGTTATGGGTAGGCTTACTGTTGTGAAGGTATTCGAGTAACAAGCTTACAGAAGTGTGCAGATTAATTGAGACAGGATTAAGTCTTGTTATGATCTCATAATATGTCTTAGTCTCCAGATTAATTAATAGAGTTTGGGTTCTTTTCTTTTCAGAAGAGTTTGCTACTGACTTAGGGCAACCATCCAGCCGGGGTGTTACCTTGTGACTCTCATCAGCGCTACAACAGCTATGGTGTTACCCTGCGACTCTTGTCAGTGTTAAAAACAGCTGTTGTTCTGTAAGGTTATTCCTGCAAGCCTGAGTGAATGTGGTTTCACCAAATTATTCCCTTCACTTCAGGATTTTTGCTGAAACTCATGATGCATGTTGCACCTAGGAAGTATGCAAGTATTGTAGTTCTTTGAAAACATGCTGATTTGAGTACCACACAGATCGCTGAAAATTTGAGCTTAGCAAAATCAACTGTTGGTTGGATTCTGAAGAGAGCTGACAACAGTGGTGATTGTTGAAGAAAACATAAGACAGCACCTCACAATGACAAGGTTATCATAATAAATAGTGTGAAGGATCCCAAGAAAACCAGCAAAGATCTACAGAGAGATTTGGCTTCAGCTGGTGTAAATGTTGATTCTTCAACTGTTTGACCAAGGTCCTTGAAGTTGGCAGAACTGTCATTAAACAATTATTGTCTGCTGCCATGAAGAAAAAACAGCTGTTGTGGGCACTTAATCATAAGGGATGGACGACAGATGAATGGAGAAGAGTTATATTTTCAGACGAAGCACATTTTGAAGGACGTGGGTACAGATCATTGGTAGTGAGACGGAGCAGAGGTGAACCTCTTCAGAATGGACATGTTCAACAAGTGCCAAAACACCCATCTAAGATGTTTTGGGGTAGTTTTACTGCTAAGACCCTAGATGGCTTGTTATTTTTGAGGGAACAGTGACAAATACAAGGCAATCCTGGCAACTCGTTTGTTTCCCATTGTGGATAGAGACTTTCCTGATGGAGAAGGCATTTTTCAGCAGGATCTTGCTCCATGCCATACTTCCAGAAAAATGCTGACATTCTTCAAAGAGAGTAGGCAAGGCACTCTAAATTAACCTGGAAACTCCTGACCTCAACCCAATTGAGAATCTATGGGCAATAACCAAACACAGGATTGCGAAGCAGGACTATTCAACAGTGAAGCTAATGCTGCTGCTGTTAGGACTTGTTACAACGATGAATTACGTGCCAAGTGTGTTTAACATTGGTCGACTTTATACCACAGTGTGTAGCAATGCTTA